TTATTTTCCTTTGTACTTAATTTTTGAGCATGCTGCCCAGTTTCCATGTCTAAATCCAGGTTGTGTGGGTAAGGTGACAAATTCTGGTTTTTTCCCTAAGTCTGAGTTGGTTTTTTTTGTTGGGTTTGCATATATTTTTGCCCTCAAATTCCTGCAGAGTATGGGAACCACAAAGACCGCAGCACTTTTAAAGTCCCTTACCTGTCCAGCACACCAGGCAATGCTGGTTAGGGTCATAAAGATGCTGTACTGTTTCTGTAACTGCAGCGAGGTTCTCTCCAGCAACTCTTCCCAGCATAAGCAGTGAATGAAGCTTTCATTAAAAATGCAGAAATAACCAGGACTGTCTTAGAACAGACTCCAAGTTGTTTCGTACCTGTTCAGGTGTCAGCCTGCAAGTCTTCTTTAGGAAAGAACACTTCATTATTGACAATACACCTGTCATGGGGCTGACACGATTCTAACTTTCTTTTCATTTGAATACTAGTTTTGTGCTGCTGTGTGGTTTTTCAGCTCCTTTGAGCTCTGTCTGGTAAGAAATTAGTGTGTGTGGTTCAGCTTGCTTTCCTCCTCTTCACTGAGACCTATTGCAGCAGTGTCTGAGTCCATATCATCTGCCAGCTCTTCACTTTACATCAGACCTTTGAGACATTTCTTCTTGTTGCAAAAAAAAAAAAAAGAAAAAGTGATGGGTTGGAGACACTGCTGTGGAATAACTGGCATGTTCTGCAAGTTTCATGTGTTAGAAACTCAAGTGGAGAATACACTGTCAGGGGTTTACTTAGGTCAAGGAGCAGGGTGAAGTATTTGTCAGGCCGTGGGGAAAAAAAAAGATCATATTGCCAAATATTGGATGAAAGATTTCTAGAGTGACTGATGAGGAGTGTTATATATGGCATGTCTTGCTTCCTTCACTCCCACAGATTCCTTATGCCTCTAAGAAAGTGCTGTTTTTTCTGCTAACAGCCAAAGTGTTTCATTTGGAACTGAAATGAGGGAAAATAAAGTCAGCGTAACATAGCGGTGTGCTCTTGAAATGGAAATTCTGCAGAAAGTGTATATAAAAACATGTTTTTAAAGGGGTTCACCCTCAAGAGATTAATGAAGAGCCTGCAGAGGTGGATACTGACATTGTTCTGAAGCGCTAATGTAAAATTGGGGGTGTATTTTTCCATGGGGAATAATAGTTGGCATAGCAAACATTTATTTTCTTGTAGCATGTAGGAAGATGTGAGGATGCTGGAATCTCACTAAACGGACAGGGGTGCCCTCCAGCACCCATTCCAGGCTACGGGCAGGAGCTCAAGTCAGTATGATACCAAGGCACTGGTTTGGTGTAGCACCCCACATGGACACCTTTCTCCCATGCAGTCTAGTGCACCAAGGAATCCTTGGCAAAAAAATTTAGAGCTTATAGCCAGCCTGAAAGCAGTAGCCATCAGCTGGTCCTAAATAGCAACTATCATTAAGTGGAGACTTGTTACCATCGATTCATGCTGAATAGTGAGTTACAGGCCTCATTTTTCCTACAGCTTGTGACTGAGCATGATATAAATTAGAGCTGGCGCCACTGGATCCACTTCCTTTGCCTACTGTTTTTATCAGGCTGCTTACTTATGGCCTTCCCTCACTGTGTTATTGCCATGCGTACGTCGGTCAGCTTTCATTTAGACCTTCAAGGAAGCTATGTTATTTTAGTTGTGTGGAGACTCTCATGGTTACTTAGAAACCCTTGGCAGTGGGAGTCATTTCTTCCACAGCCCTAGCAATTTGTTGTCTACTGGAAGAAATAAAAGAGCAGCTGCTGGTGTGCAGAGACCAATGTGCTATGAGCGGGTTAGATCATCTCATTAGGACTGAAGACGCGAAAGCAGACACTCTGAATTAAAATGAAAAGCCGATTCATCCACATGATGGGGTCAGAACTTAGAAGTCCTCATAATGATTCAACCTGAATTTGAAGATGAGACTTATTACAGTTATGACACTGCTGTCCTTTAATAAAACAAAAGATATGTATGACTTGCAATACCTTTGACTGAAAGGATCAAAAGAACATTTGAATAGCGTGAGATCTGCAGTGTTGCTGTGCTGTCTATAGTGTTGCTGTATTTTTGCAGCAGCAGAAGTTAAGGGAGAAAAATTGGGAGCACTTTTTTTCTACAGTCTTTATTACTTTTAATGATTATCAGTTTCTTCACTGTTTCCTATGCATCTTGGCTATGTTCCACATTGAACATTAATCATTGTTGGCTTTAAGTTAACTTTATGATACCAGTGTTGACTAAATTACAGAAGGATTTTCAGGTTTATTGGTCTTGACTTATTAATACATCATGATGAGGCTGACTCTTCACTCTCTTGGATGCTGTATCTTTCAACTTAGAAGTGCAGTCAAAGCCAAGCAGAGACTCAAAAGTGTTGACACGGTTTATTTTAAGAAGACAGATACTTGTATGGACTGTGTAGAGTATCACAGGGAGGGACTGAACAATAGCACAGATGACTGTTAATTCCCAATCCAGTTCCAGTTGGATGTGCCCATGATAGACACCAAGCTAATTATTTGTCCCCATCTGTTGCACAGAAAGGCTAGTCTACCCCGCAACGGGACTCTTCTCTTCCTCTCTTTTATTACATTGGTAAGCTGATGCCATGTCATTTCACCTTTGTCATTTTCTGGCACAAATTTTCACAGTGGAGATTAAAGTGTTGTTGTGGCTCTTACTTGCATCTCCATTTACTTTGGGGCTTGTTTTGTTTACTCATACATATGTAATCCACAAGCAAGTAGCCCCATCTTCTTAAGTTTACCCTTACTTTTACTGAACTTCTCAAAATCTGAAGGTCCTAATTCTTTCCTTTTTCTTGCTTTGAGAGGTTAGTAACATACAGATGCTTCAGGGCAGCTCATGCTATTGGGCAAGACCCTTCATCCATGCACGAGCTCTTAAATTCAATGCAAGCCTCTGACTTGTGTAAGAGTACTGGTCAAGAAATTATCCAAATACGAGTTCTGCCAAAGCAGAAAATCAATTGGTGTTGGTGATTGTAGGAATATCTGGTTGCAAAGTTTTCCTGAAGTCACTTTCTGGCAAGACATGTGTTTTTCAGCTGACACCTGAGATATACTCTCACAATCAGGTGAAGAGGCTGTTGCTTGGGACTAACAAAACAGGTATGTTGCCACTATGCTCATCTGACCTGAGGCATCAATGCCACCAGCTGATTATTTTGGCTGAGAAAGAAGCAGTCTTGTACCGTGAATTTTGCTCTACTGCCATCGCCAGCAAACCACTGGAAAGACTTCAGCTGGCACAGTAACATCTTCCTTCAAGCAGTCCTTAGACAGGTGTGGCTCTCTGCAGATGAAGGAATTCTAAGTTTTCCCCCATGCACTGATGGTCAGCTCACAGATGATGGACCAACCAGCTCCTGGCACACCAGGCTGGTACCTTTGTTTAGGACAATCACAATAGTACATGGCATGGTCAGTGATGGCCAGTACTGGGTTTGAAAGAGCAATCTGGTTGTGATCAACTCACCCAGTCAATGCTGCTATATAGCCATGGGTAGGGAGGCACACAATCATGGCAAAGGGAAAGGGGGATGGACATTTGAGAAGTAGTCACTGTGGTTCACTAATGTGTCTGGTGGTGGAGGCTGCTCAGTATGTTTATTCTCCAGAACACTCCCCCTGATATAGCAGAGATGGTTGTCAGCTGCTGCAGTTGGAACAGATATGCAACAGACACAGATGTTCTGTGTGCAGTTACCACATTAAAATCTGTATCAAAGTTCTGGAAGCCATCTCTGAATTTGGAAAGCATTAACACTGGTATTACTTTTCAGGAACAGAGCACTGCAAAATACCTTGTCAGGCACAGTCCGCTTTTTTATAACAGCGCTTTTTAGCTTAGAAGCCAATGTTGTTAAGACATACATGGACTTATGTTAGAGACCCATGCGCAAGACACTTAACAAATTTGCTGTACGTTACTACTGTTATTCTTACTCAGGTATCAAACCTACAAGCCGTGAGGAACACACTGATACATTTTTTTCATCTGCTGATCCATGCTTTATAATGCTGAGTGACACACAATCCCTCTCTGGCCAGCGCTCACCTCCCTCCCACAGCCACAGCTGAGAGACACAACCCAGAGCCAGGGAGATGAGGACACTGGATGAAGTCTGCATGATCAGAAGTCCAGTGCTGCTCTCTCCCAGATAGTATCTGAGTTGCAGAATCCCGAGCTAGTTTTTGGTTACTTATTTGTGCAGAACTACTCTTCTGCCCACGCTACCTCTGCACATGCAACACAGGATTTGAACTTTGGCCTATGTCTATGCTTTCTCTGTTGGATGCTCCTTCTTTTACTCCACTGTCTTCATTCCAGCCCTACCAGACTTCACAGCTCACAGCTCACAGCTGCATCACCACTGTGGATCACTCTCGTTTCGTTTTGTTCATAAATACGACTCCGCTCTAGCATGGATACACGCTCTTATATTTCTCTTCCTGGTACTGAAGATGTTCGCTGTGACACAGAAATTTGCCACAAAGCAAAACTCTTCTAAGGTCTTTATTTTCAGGAAGGCGTTCAATCTCTTCATCATAAAGCATAGACAGTAGGTCGCCCGCTGAAC